TAAGAGTAAAATCCAGCAGGTAGTAATTTTCTTTAAGCTCCAATTAGTCTGTTAGCTATAGCCCTGTAGATTCCTTACCCAGAGATGGACACAGGGTCACAAAAAACATTCTGCATTGTATTTATGGAATGAAAACCTGTTCTCTAAAGACATATCCCAGGGGATTAGAGAGAGCAGAGCTAAGCTGTGCTATTTACTCCCAGAGAGAAAGCAGGGCAAGCACGCAAAAGAAATAGGTATTACCTAGTTCACTGTTCAGGGAAAGAGGCAGAAGAGGAAACATCAGCTGCTTTAAGAAATCTCAATGGCTGTAACATGTAAGAGAACAGGATTGATTTAATGCTTTCAGTCTGACTCCCAGATGAGGAATCAATTATCCTGTGTCATTTAATCTCCTTAAGCAGGGCATGACACAAATTAGAAATTAGAAGCATTGTATCTAATATGAAGAGCAGCTCTTAATGGTAGTTAGCATCAACCTCAGATTTTTTAGAGAGAAACGTAACTGGGAATTGGGAAGCTCTGAAGAGCTGGCTACACTAGCTTTCCACAGTCAGCTTTTCAGATTTTAAAAGTGGGTTTGTTCATTGTTTACCTTATGGAGATGCAGAGTGGAAAGGGAAAAGGGGGGAAGGAGAAAAGGGGAAAGGAGGAAAATGGAAAGAATGGGAAAGACGGAAAGAATCAGGAATGTTGCCTTCAGAAACCTTGCACAACATTACTTACACCTGACGAGTTTCAAACTATCCCCTATCTTTATGGCAAATTTCTCACCTAAATCAATCTCCTACTTTTTTTACGTCATTGAAGACGACAGAAGTACCACACGGCTCCTAAGCAGGTGCAAACCGTAGCTAAACCAGCCTGCTTTTGGAACAGAACCTCCTAGAATGAAGAAGTGCGGTACAGGCGGAGGTTCCATCTGATTCCCCTCCAGGCTGGGAGTGCTAGTAGTGAAGGTGGTCCTTGCACCTGTACATACAAATAGATAAGTTTCCTACTGAGCTTTTCAATTAACATTTCTTGTGTGAAACTGTTGACACAATTAAGCAGGAGCATGAAAACAGAAGCAGGATAGCTAAAGAAAGATCCTTTTGTCAAAGAATTGTTTTTGCTATGTACCAGAAGAAAACTAGGGCACAGAATGTAAGCAGTAGATTAACTTTCAGGAGAGGCTAAAATTATCCAGGATTATACAAATACACGCAGTTTTTGTTTGTTTTGGTGTTGGTTTGTGGGCTGTTTGTTGGGTTTTTTTCCTGGTACTAAAACCAATTCAGTGTTAAAGACAAATGAAGGGGTTTGTGGTAGAGGGGTTTGGGTTTTTTGCCATGTGTTTTGGTTTTTTTTTTTGCAAAAGCTCTATGAAAAGGCCGATGTATTTTTTAAGAAGCAAACTCAGCATACCTGTTCTGAATATTCTTTAATGGACCTTGTAAGTATGAATTTAAACTTTGTCCTAGGAATAAAAATCCATATAAGATCTGGCTGAAGCAGTGATTTCTAATCAAAGCCAGTTCAGGAACTAGCCTCATTATCTGCAGTACCTGCATTTGTGGCTTCCAGTGTTCTTTCTTCCAAGTAAGCAGATGCCAGAGGATCTAAGAAACAAAATCTTTTGTATTTCTCACATTGTGAGAAATACAGAAACTCTCTCTCACGATATTTCCCCTAATTTTGCTCCTTTTCCATTTCCTCTGGAATGCCCCAGTGAGCTCTCCCCATCCTGCTGATACTCACCTGCCATCTGAAACTGGGATGTCTGGATCAAGGGATAAACCACCTTGTATCTAACAGCAGAAATGATGGGGTGTGTGGGGAGCATGTATGACAAAGGCAATTGTAATTTAAAGGCTGACCTGTACCACCTATTTTTACACTGAAGTACTCAGGAAACATGCTATGGATCATTTTTGTTCTAAATGTCATGAAAAAGAAACTATGGTAGCAGTTTGACATGTACTTAACACTGCAATTTCATGACTGTCACATATAGTACTTCACCAAAACAACTCTATACTGGGAATGTTGCTGGCAGCACAAGGACATAAGGTATTGAAAAGTAAAGATTGAAGACCCGATAAAGTGATTCCTTCATTTTCAACACTGTTTGCCTGTCAGTTGATCTCAAAGAAGAAAGCTTTAAAAAACACTTCAGACGATAAGCACCATTCCTGATGCTTTGCCAAAAGCTTTCTTGTGTCATTGCATTGCATATCAAGACTTTTCAAATAAAAGCAGCTCTGCAGGCTGCTTCTGTACCTACAGAAGGCAGCAACTCCCACTGTAATTGTTAGGTAGTGGCTGTGAATGACAGGCTGCAGTTCTAAAAAACCATCAGTACACGTTTTCCTATGTAACCACAAAACAATGAGAAATGCATCAAGGCGGCTCTAAGAACAGGAGGAAAGCGCACTGCATGGAACCCTCTCCACTTTTTCAAATGCTGCATTTTACACACACACAGTGAGGGTTTGTTTCTTCAGGGGAAGTACACCTTGCACTTCACACACAAGCCAGCCAAAATGCTGCTGTGTGCCACTGAAGTTCCAATATTCCTGTCCCCTCAGGGGACAGACAGCTGCTTGCTCCTGCTCTCCTGCAGGTAGCTAGCTGGCTCCTGCTGGCACTGCAGCACCATGCCCTGTGGATTCACAAGCAAATGCAACTGAAGTTAAGACAGGCAGTGCTATTTCTACCTAAAAAATCCCTTCATCTGTACAGGACTGTAACAATAGCAAACAGTAATAATGTTGAAGTGGCTTCCCAAATCTGCTGCTGATTCTACACTTTTGAGGTTTTTTCCTTTCAGTTCAATTTCAGACTAACACAGCTACCAGGAAAAGCACTAAAACCAAAACCCATCCACTCATCCAGCATAAACCTGCATGCAACCCCAAATACAGCATCTTGGACCTGCAGCATTAATGCCTGCTGGCATTTCAACTGAACTGCATGTTCACTGAAAGTTATTTTTATGAAATGATTTAAAAAATCTAAGCAGCAGATAATGCCTATGTGCATTTCACAGCATTTGCTGACTCCAAATTCCTATTTAATACAAAGGAAACAACAGTTCCCTTTACTGAAGGCACATACCAGCACCCTATTTTAAGCTTAGCTTTTTATATATTTGGTCAGTAACCTGGGCTAAGTTTTATTTCATGTTTTTATGCTTTCATTCCCCAGCCAGATGTTCAGAAAACATGCTGAACACTGCAGTCACCTGAAACCCTGACAAACCCAATGCAAGTCTCAGTTCTGCTCTTCCCAGTATTTCCCCACATCCTAGGCAAGATTGCCTGAAGGGTCAACTTCATCTGCTACCAGCCCTCCTTGCTCTAGGCTATGCTAATTGCCTAGGCTCCCCATGTAGTCAATGCTGAAAGACAGGAAAGTCCATCTGTAGCGCTTCTGTCCCAGTACAACATGAACAATATACGTGTGACCTGCTGCCCCCAGATGCCTAGTGCTCTGGTGACCATAAGGGTAAATCAAGCAGCCTTGGGACAGCTGAAGGCAAGCAAGCTTAATTTTCACAAGGAGAAAAAAATACCAACATGCAAAATCACGACTGGCACAAAGAGCTGTATTATTCATTATTCCCTCACAATAACAGAATCAGGATTGGCAACAAGCCTAAGAAACAAAGGGAAGTATTTTCCTACACTATTCTACTGTGAAAAAAATCACTGCAATAGAACACTCAAGAAAACTAGATGGCACTGAGGAAAGAGACGTAAAGGTTACTGAAAACAAAACAGGCGGCCACAATTCCAATTAGGCCATCAGCCACAGAATACCAGATGCTTGAAGGAAAAAATACAAAACAAAACCCCCACACTATTGCATGCCTTAACACATTTTTTCTGCCAAAACAAACAGTAACCTGTAAGGTCCATATGCAGCCAAACTGTGTTTAATAAGGTAGTCTTCTAATACTTACTTGCAGCAATAGGTGGTAGGGAAAATATCTACCTCATCTACAGCATTTGAATGTAGAGTCTCACTTGGCAATTCTTTACTGTGAGGGTGCTGAGGCACTGGCACAGGGTGCCCAGAGAAGCTGTGGCTGCCCATCCCTAGCAGTGCTCAAGGCCAGGCTGGACAGGGCTTGGAGAAACCTGGTCTAGTTAGTGGAAGGTGTTCAGAGACCCATGTGTTAGTGGTGCCAGAATAGAGGCTAATTCCTTCCCTGAGATACCCTGCCCTCTCATTTAAGAAACCATAGGAAATTGCAAAATGCTTCTTCCTCTCCAGAAACAGTTCAAACACATGCAAAATGGAGTTGAAATCCTGGTGCTCTCCTCCTTCAGAAAAACACAAGCACTAATATTTACCTCATGCCTCTATTTTCTAAAAAAGTCACTTTATTATTTAAAATTCACATCATTTGTGTGCTACTTGTGCAAATACTGCAAAGGGCAATGATGAAACAAGGTCTGCAACTCAGGCAGTCACAAAGCAGGCAAGCCAATGCAGACTGTTCTTCAGGCCATACTGATCCTTCTGTCAGTATGCTCTTCCCCTTCTGGATATGGGAAAAAATTCAGACTTTTAACACTGTGCTCAAGATCTCCCTCAAAACCTGAGAAGGGAAATGTATGATCTTTCTTCATGAATGCAAGCTCAGAGTTTCAAAACAAATGTAAAGGATCACCTCTGCACTGCAGCATAATTTGCTATTTTCCAAATTACAGACATTTCCTAGAACCTTGCTGACATTAAAAGTCTGACATTTAACTCCTATTTTGTTCATGTAATTTAAAGAAAAATGCAGACAATTATTGGGATGGATGCTAACACTTTACCTTTAGACAGGCTTTCAAAAGCAAAGTCAGGACAGGGTAGTCATTCATCTCTGTATCAGTTTCTCAGCTGCATAAAGAGATGCTGATACCTTTCTAGTACATCTTTTTAAAACCTGCAGGAAAAAAAGCAAGGTCAGCACACTGCTTTTTACAGTGACACACAAGAAGGCAGGGCAAGTAATTTAGCCACAGACTAGAAGTCATACATAAAGGAGTTGCTGTAAGTGATCTTAAACACAAACAAATCACAGAAAGGCACTGAACTAGATTCTGATTTTCACAATGTTTGGTAAGAGGAAAGTTTGGTTTGTTTCTGAAAAATAAGTTAGTACAAAATTTAAAAAACACGGATGTGCAAGTCTTTGCTGCATAAAAGGAGGTACATTTCCATACTTTAAAATAGTTTAAAACATTTGTACATAATGAACAGAAATTCTTTTATATAAACAAAGAGTGTTCCTTTGTGACAGCAGCTGTCAACTCCAAAACACAGAATTAAGTCGACAAGAGAACCAGACAGTCTGAGTCACTGCTATTTGTGTCAAAAAAAATTATGCCACCCTTTTCTACAGCTCATCATGCTTGTATGTGAATTCCCTTGCAGATATAAACCCATCACTGTCTTCATCTTCTTTATCAAATATGTCTTCAACCAAAGCATCATGCTGGGTGTCATTGACCACTGCTCCATGCCTTTCAAATTCTTTCTTCAAGTAAATTTTCACCTATTAGACAAAAGGAGAGATTATGTTTCTAGGCTTATGAAAGAATTGATTATTATAGAGTAAGAGAAGGCCACTATGTTCAGGATTATACTATTAGACAATAGATATCTTCCTTCCTATGCCACTGCCAGAGTAATACTTGTCTGACTGGTTCTGCAGCCATCAGTGATGGAAGACTCCAGTAATGTAAGTGATAGTAAAACTAGGAAATCAGTTGCCATACCTTTATGGCATCCAACTGAAAAATGAGCCAGGAAAACCTGTCATCTGGTGTCTATACAGTAAAGTATAGACTATATAGCTAGGCAGAAGTTATCAGCTACCAATTTGGTCAGACCCACAGGCAGCTTTTTCACATCCTAGCACTTTAACAAACCAATAGATGTAAATAGCCATCCCAAATATATATGGAAGTCTGTCCACAATCTCAGTGTTTGCTGCTGTAATGAGAACTACCTTAATAAGGATTTATTTCGAGGCATCTCCATTTTGAAGGATAAAGATTTGAGGTAGATTTTAAACCGACCAGTAGAACAGTTATTTACACTAAGCTAGTTACTAAAGGTGAGCTGATACTGAAAAATAAAAAAAAAAAAAATTAAAAAAATCTATTGTTAAGGTGTAAGCAAGTACGTGAGCTGAAGCCATGCAAGAAACGCAAAGCACAGACAGGAGCTTAATTGTTGAGCCGGGAGTAGCAGTTCAAGAGCATTCAGCAGG